GAAAAGGATCATCGGTACAGCGACAAGAGGAATAGTTTCTCCCATGTACTTCTATGGCCGATGCAGAAACTCAAGTGTTGTCAAATGATGTTGTTACTACACAGGTATGTGTTATATATCTTGTATAATTGTAATTGCCTTAAGTTTTCTATAGCGTGTGCTAAATTGTGGTTGTTAAACAATGACAGATGTACACTGGTCCGGTTCCAAATCTCGCAGGACAAAGTAGTTTCTATACTAGACAGGAGTTTGTAAATGATGAACATGTTTCATTGGGAGATGTTTGATATTTTTGCCAGGTTGAAGCATATAGAATTGTATTTAGTAGAAATTTTTCATGCTTTGGTTAATTTCTACCGAATGCAGTTGAGTTGTATGCTTATACAGTTGTTTTATTTTTTGTATTTTCGTCATTGATTGTGTAGGATAGTGAATTCATGATAATGACGTTAATGTAACTTATTATAATGTTTTTAGTATATATTATCATCACATTGCAGACTCTGGTTGTACATGGCATTTTGGATATGCATTTCTTTTGAGATTTGAATTTTTATGTCTTTGGGCATGTCTAGTATTACATATACATATACATTGAAAAGAGTTATTGACATATGTATAAACAAAAGACAAATCTATTTATGAACAAAAGACAGATTTATTTATAAACAAACTACAATCTTTATTAACAACATCCGCTCAAATCAATCTATTTATAAACAAAAGGGAAAAATTCTTCATCATGGTGCAGGGGGTGGAGGTTGACTGGAGGATGAGGAGGCTGTTGAGAAGTTCTTCATCATGCTGAAAATCTTTGTCATGCGGTCTCCAATTATGTCAACTATTTCTTCAATTCTTGATGCAAACGTGTTGAAATCACTTTGCAATTGATCATATTGTTCTTGCATTTGCCTCTCAATACGTGAAAAACGCTCCTCTTGAAACTTTTCCATCCGCTCAAATTTGCTTTCTATTTCCTGTAAAGTATGAGAAGCCATATCTTCTACATTCTCAGATGGTCTAGGTTCAATACCCGTTCTTCTTCTTTTGCGCATATAGACTTGTCCTTCAGTAACCCCTTCTGGAACACTGACATCTTCTTGAACCGTTGCATCTCCCTCCATTTCATCCCTAATCAGATACCATTGTCTGCCACATTCTTTTTAATCAAACCCATTCTATTCAATGTCACATCCCCCAACACATTAGTTGTAGAAAACGTAATCTTATTTGTTACATCATCAAGGGTGATCTCAATATTCAACTTCTCACATATTAACGTAACCAGCATCCCCCAATATATTTCTCATTTTTCTGCGGTGATCTCTCTCAACTTCTTAATCAATAACTTTGCTGAATTAACTTGCCTTCCTGCTACTGTTGCTTCCATGAATAATAAATCCTTAACCGTCACATTTCCATTTGTCTCTTTCCTACCATTAAATGTGAAAGTCAAGTATCTGTGAAATACTCTCATAGCAGGATTCTGTAACTTTGTAGATTTACACCTATGTGGATGGTAAGTCCCTATTCTGGAAACATCAATCCAAGCTTGTTTGGAATCCTAGTTTATAGGTACGTTTTCCAAACCTTCACAATCAAATCCTATCCAGGTTGATAAATCTTGGGGTGTCACTACAAAGTTCTGATTCTTTAATTTAAAGAACATTGTATATGCCTGAAACTCATCACTGTCTGTCTTTGCAACTTCCAAACTACCGAAAAACTCATATATCAAATGCCTATATCCATCATATCTCATATTGACCAAACGGTCCCATTTCAAATGATTAATCAAACCATTGATTTCATCAGTTAAACTTAAACTTGTTAGAAGTCCTAAATCCAAACTTGTTCCAAGGCAAATATCTTTTTTCGACACGTCTTCGTATTGTTTTTTGTGTTGCCAGTCTCGAAATTGAAGTGCAGATGAGGATGTGCCTTCCTGAGGAATGGTTGTATTTTTTGCCCTCACCATTTTCTGCTTTCTTCTAAAACCTGTATACATAAAAAAATCGTTATCATAATCTGCCAAAGAACAGAGCCAATTACTCTGAACATATACATTTTGAGCTCATCATCAATTTCTACATGGCATTGTAAAATCTGGTAATGTTAACAAATGTCCAAAATTAAACTAGAAACTAATGAGTTAATCATCAAGCAAAAAACAGAATACCCAACTAATTTCTCAAACAATAAGAGAATGGTTCATTCTTCTGGCACTTGTTTTGCATTTAGACTACATTTGTTGTCATATTTGTAACAAAAAGGCACAGCTTAATTAGAAAATGTAATTTCTCTTTCAATGCTCAACAAAAATTCCAGAATTTCACAACCAACACAAATAACAATTTCATATAAACAGAATAACCAACATAGAACAATCAAACAAATACTCTTCAAATATGTATATCAATATTGGTAGTAATTCAGCCAATACACCAGTTTAACACAACCTGCAGAAGTTTAAAGCTAACAATTATCATTAAGCAAAACCGTCCACATCTCGTGTACACAGATGAAAGGCCCTTTGTATGTGCCTATGTTCTTTTATTCCTTACTGGTAAATGAAATGAATGCTGTATTGTTTGTCTTTCTTTTATTCATATTTCGTCAGACTCTAGCTTAAGATTATAGACAAAACAACAATTTCATTAATAAAATCTTAATCTCTAGTTAATTAATACAATAACTTGTTAGAAGTCTGTCCATATTATTTGTAAAACCAGAGTGCAAGCCTATAAAGTGAACAATCTGCTCATACAGAAGGTGTCATTATGGTCTAACAAGGTAAACTTCAACTTCTCACAAGAATAGTAATGTAAAAAGTAACTGTCTTGACTTTTGATAGATACTGTGAAAGAAAAGTTCCTGTTAGTTGTGGACTAGAGATGCGTGAATTTGGATTCAATTTACACAAGATTGTAAAAAAGCAGAAATAAATCAGGAGAGTTTTACAACTGAAAGACATCATAAGTAAACAAACAAGGTGTAAAGCTTTCATCATTCTGAGTATCCCTCAAGTGTTTTAGCTGAGCAGAGAACCTAATTGCCTTTTCTATTTGATAAATGATAATGCACTGATGTTGGGAGGGGGGTGAATGGGCTGCACAGTAAGTTCATTGCTACAATCAACTCTTCCAAAGTTTCACTGGGCAAGATCATTAAGTTTCATGCATTGGGGAAAAGGATACTGGCTGGACTTTGGAGTTAAAGGGGCATATGTGTGTGTGTGTGGGGGTGTGTAGGAGAAAAAAGAAAAGGGAATCTCATCATGAACAGATCAATGAAGAACTAAACACAAATTCCAGAATTCCACAACCAATTTTCCTAAAATATGCCTAAAATCAATTTTCCTTTCACGGTAGTTCACACAAACCAGCATATAAAATAAACTACATTTATCTTTATCAATGGCAGAACACTTCTATTCATCAATCACACAAACCAGTACCACCAAATTGACTGGATTTTATTTCATCAACTCTGCTCCATTCAACACATTCATCCAACCAAAAAAAAAAAAAAAAAATTTNTCCGGTGAGAGAGGAAGACGTCGTCGTTGATTTTCGGCAAGTTCAAATGCGAAACCGTGAGAGTTTTTGTGAGAAAAACTGAAAGAGAAGAAGGTGAGAAGGGGCTGCGAGCCTGCGACGCTGCGTGACAGAAGAAGAGAAGAAAGGGTGCGACGATGCGTGAGTCGTGAGTCGTGACAGAGAAGAAGAGACGAATGGGTGGCTGGGTGTGCGAGAGATCAGAGAAGACGATGGATTAGGGATTAAAAGTGTGGGCCGGTTTTTTCGCCGGTCCGGTTGGACCGGCGGTTCACTTAAAAGATCCGGTTTTCAACCGGTTTGAAGCGGTTTAAAACATATTAACGGTTTTGAGGGTAACCCGGACCGGACACGTGGCCGGTTCCCGGTCCAACCGGTTGGACCGGTCGGTCCGGTCCGGCTTTTAAAACAGTGCCCAGAGGTTTTGTACAATTCTTTAAAAACCCCTCATGTATCAGAAATGACACAAAAACCCCTATCAAATGTTAAAAGAACCGACAATTCACACAATTGTAGAAGTTAAATACTATTTTTACCTTTAACCTAAAATATATACTTATAAAAAAGAAATGAATAATTACTTTAAACCCCCAAGTTTGCCCAAACCTTGAAAAAAAATCCCTTTGGAGTTTGGAGTGTGTTGAGTGTTGACCATATGGGGTTTTGTGTCATTACTAGTACCTGAGAGAGGTTTTTGGAGTTTGACCAAACCTTTGAGGGTTTAAACTGTAATCCCCAATCAAGTAACCATGAATTTGCAAGCTATACAATAAGAAAAAAAGGTAATATTACAATAATAATCTCACAAACTTTTTCTCATAATTTCGATATAATAGCTCATAATTAGTCAGTTCACAAATGAGTCTCGTCTGTTAAATTGTAAGCTGATCAATTACAAGTTATCACATGTTGTGAGAGAAAATTTATAAGATTTGATTGCAAGCGGATATTTGTCCCTACGAAACAAATTCCAAACTAATTGAATTTAATCGCCAAGTCACCCTTTCAAGAAAAGCTTAAAGAGATAAGCACCATAGGAATAGATCCTATTATAAGATATCTGACAAATTAACAGCCTTTAAGATGAAGGGTTTTGTTCCAGAGTTTGACCATAATGACATAAAAAACAACTTATTGTCTAAATAAAGTCTGAAGGTTTAATGATTCCCCATGGCTGAGGCTTCCATGAACCATAATGATATAAACCTGCTATTTATCTATATCCATGAACTTAAGCAGCTCATGGAACTACAACAGAAAAGTTAGAAATAATCATGACACCCAACCTGAAAAATCATCAAAGTTTTCTGGAGAAAAAGTACTGCGAGTTTAAGAAAAGAAAAAGACGAATTAAAGACGGTAATTAAAACTAGTTCGCATCAGCAGGAGAATTATTATAAAGCTTGAGACGATTAGATCTCCAGTCCTACAGGGTCTTCGGAATTAGTGCTCTCTCTTTTTACCACTCAAGCCTGGCAATTTGCAGATGGGGCAAACATTCTTCCTTATAAGCCACTGTTTTATGCAGTTGGCGTGATATTCATGTCCACAATCCAGCTTCCCAAGATCTTCTCCATCAGCATATTCCTCCTGGAAAGGTTCACAAGCACACACAATAATAAAGAGGATGATTCTTATGTAAACTTTAAAGGATGATTAATAAAATATAAATCTTAGTCACTTTCTCCTAGCTATCAGTTAAGTTTTGGAATGAATAATTTGAATCTTACCTGACAGACACAGCACGGTTCATTATAAACGGGAGACTCAACTGGGACGGACTGATGTTTTCGCTGCCTTAGAAGTGCCAGAATAGCTTCCTCGTTTAGTCCAGTGTTAACATTTCCAATTCGCTCTTCCAGGGCCAGTAGTTCCTAATAATAAAACATCAAAGTCATTATTATTATTATTTACCATGCACCCTATCCTATATCCCACCCCTCCAAATAAATTGAATCTCGGTCCAAGATTAAAATTAGAAGATTTGATCTCTAGACCTCTCTTGCATTCACTGCAAGAGATTTATCACCATAACATCAATATCATTCTTAAAAGGAAGTTGTCTTTGCATGAAGTTGTTGATGGTTTTGCTAAGACTATTATATATTTGGTTGGCCTTTTAAAAGCATTTTTCTGGCTACTATAAGAGATAAATTATGCAATGCATGTCTTGATTTTATTTAGTGACAGTGTTACCTCATAAGACATGTTATCTGTATCAAGACGAAGATCTTCTAGTACATCATCCTCATCCTCATCCTCGTCCTCATCATCATCATCTTCTTCATTTCCACCCTCACGAATCCACATTGGACGTCGGTCAATTCCCATCATATCCTGACATGCATATCCACCACACTGATCATAAATGTAAACCTTCATATATTTGAATACACGGAGTGACCATTTCTCTTGCAATGGAATTCGAGTATGAAATGTATACCAATGCTTTACCTTACCAAAGTATTAAAAAAAGAAAAAAAGAAAGAGCAAATCTAAATAATAATCATACCTCAAACCGTAGGGCGCCAGTCCTACGGACAAGTGCCAGGGCATTCTCAACCTGTAATTAAAAATAGAGAAATTCTGGGCTTCTGATCAAGTGATGACACACTACTACAGACAGTAAATCAATTGAGAATAGTCTATGAAAATGCTAAAACGGATTCTCTGATTCGTCTTCGGCTCACCCAATCCCACATCATAGTAGACATTCCTATCCTTTGATAATGTAATTTGAATTTGATAAAGATAATTTCCAGTTTTTAAGATTTTGATTATAAACAGTTTTGATGTTTACCATTTAACTTGACTGATAAGGTATCTTCTAAGCGTATAAGAGATATAACAAGCATCATAGACAAAATATATTCATATAAAGAAGGTTTAGCCTACCCCAGATATGAGCATGCTTCTCCTCAGAGCAGCAGGAGATAAAGTCCGAAGTGTCGGGGAAATATCCTGATCAGCAATCCCTGGTCTCTCTACCCTTGTCATGAATCTTGGTCTAAAAGGTCCGTGAGAAGGCCTTAAAATACCACCTCTAACCGAGTTCTCCAATTCTCTCGCAGCGTAACCATCCTGCCCCCACCCCCTGGACTCCGACCCGCTTCCAGTTTCTGCATATCTGTTAGAGTAAAGGTCACCCATGCTGGGATTATTGAACCAGGTTGGAGCAAGTGGTGACCTGCCATTTGAATTTGAAGCATTTCCAGGAAAGTTAGGATTCATATTTGCTGCCATAAGGGACAAATTTCCTCCGTTAACAGCTTGAGCAGAAGAATCAGATGATCCACTTGCTCTTGCGACCTGGGAACCATATCGAGATTGAAAAGAATCCGGAGCTTGCAACATAGGGTGCATTGGTGGAAGTTCAAGTGCTGGTATCCTCCTTCCAAACTGAAGCTCATCATATGGGTCGTGAAACCTATCTGTTGGATAACCATATCCCATAAAAGAATTCATCACCGACATGTAATCAGGTTCCAGAAATTGACGATTTTCATTTCTTCTAAGACGAATATTTCTCTGGAGATCATCTGTTTGTCCTCCCCATATTGAAGCATAATTCGTCCCTGTGGCTGCTCCGAAACCAGCTCCATTTCCTGCCACATTGGAAGTTTGATGCATGGCAGGGCCACCTTCAAGTCCATTTGCTGCTACACTTGAACTTTGACGACTGAAAGTATCCGCACCTACACTGTCCCAAAGAGTATTCATAGTTGGAGTTTGGTTACCAACTCTAACGCCAGCGTTCAAATGTCCCAAATGACCGGCATTTGGGAGTTTAGTCAAGGCACTCAATACGTTTGAGCTGCTACCGGAAATTTCTTGGGACGTAAGAGCTTGTTGAGCAGAGCTTGAACTAGCACCTTTTAGAAAAAGTGGTCCGGAAGAACTTTCAGGCACTCTTCTTTTGCAGGATATACGTCTGCCATTAGATGTATTACCCTGTCGGCCATCATTTTCTTCTACAACATATCCTGAGATTCCAGAAGAGATCACGACTGGATTAGTAGGATCGGAGCCGGGCGGATTCTGCTTAGTTTCCCCACCTGATTTTGATGGATTTAGGTTTACATCTGCTCCCATTTCCTGACTGGAATCATTCGAGTTACCTTGATATGTTGCATTTAAGTCTATGTTACTCGGAAGGGCACTAGCAATGGTCCCTTGCGCAAGTGGTTGCCCATTTGTAACTTCACCATTTTCATTAGGAGTTCCTCGAAACCGTTGATGAGTTCCAGAAGGAGCATGCTCATCCGAACTTGGTAATGGCACATGAGTAATCTGACTTTGGGTGTTCACGCTAGAGCTTGATTGACCCCCACAGTTCATAACACTTTTTCCCTTAAGGGAAGAAGCATTTTCAGAATCTAAGTTTTGCTGATCCAACCCAGGATTGGTGGCATTGCTGCTCCCTTGCCCTTCCATTGTAGCTGATATTTGTTTCCTTTCAAATGTTGATAATTCGAAAACTGGACAGAAGTTGGGCTCGCCCAAGACCTGAAATCACTGCACATTTATTAGATATAGATAACGATTTGCCTGATTTAGAAGGTCTGAAGCTATAAAAGCATTGTAAAAAGTATTGAGATTCTGTATATATATATCATCAGCGAAACTTCACAAGAAGGAAGCATTCATGGAAATGAACATACAGAAAGAGGGATAGTATTTTCTTCATCTTCACTTCGGTGAGAAGATATAAATATGCCCCGTTTGCTTCAATTTCTGTTATACGAGTATACAAACTTGCAAGAATTACAATTTGCTTACCCATTCTAAACTAAAATGCAGCCCTTATTACTGGTGCAAACATGCACCACTGCACCAGAAATTGATGGAGGACCAAAATCATATAGTAAAAGCAGAACAATTGTACAAAGAATCAAAAGATGGCTCCAATAACTTCTAATAACTACATGTAGGTCTTCTCATAAGCGAGAAGATTTGCAAAATGCACGTATATAAGATATCTGGATCAAAAGAAAAACTTGGTTTCCAACAAATGTTTTTCTTTCATTTCCTGTAGTTGAAGTAGAAATATATAACAGAAACATTTATATATATAGAACGAAACTTCAAACCAATCCAAAGTGGAAAGCCAAAATGTAATACAGAAACATATATGCACACGAAAAGAAATCCTGATGTGGGTAGTTCTAACATTAAAGAAGTTCATGCTCCTATTATTCACATTAATTCCCTTAAAATAATACTATCGAGCAACAGGATTTATTTTGTATGACAGCCTAATCTGCTAGAATATGTAAGCCATCTTGGTCAATAGTTGCTCATAAGATACCCTAACCTATGAGAAAATGAAGGAAAAATGAATGTGTAAGACCAGCAAGGTTTAGATAATCCCTCAATTATTTGCGAATATGGGAATAATGGAAGTATGATAAATCATTTACGCTTACTCTTAAACATATGTAATAATAGATTAAAAAAAAAAAAAAAAAGGAACAAAAAAAAGGAAAATCTAAAGAATTAAATATTAAAACTTTAATGGAGCACATGCATCGAACAAAGCAAAATATGTTTATGTATTTTTTAGTAAAAAGAAAATATCTAGATCTATACCTTATATGAGTAAAATGAAGGAAAAAAAAACGTAAGCGAAAATATGCAACCCTCCACCACTAGGCACAAAGATCTAGCTCTAAAGCATGGGATTGTCCGACCGAAAAGGCTTTATATCATATATCAATAATCATAAATAGTAATAATAACAAAAGAAGAAAATAAATCAAAAGCAAATATCTCTATGAATATTAGTTTTCATTATAAAATTCTGGTCCCACATCATCGAAAATTATGGATTTTTTTTTAATCTTCTTTTTAAGACTGTGAAAACATTAATCTAAAAGAAAATTAAAAACCAAAAAAAAATTACATCCCTCTTGCTATTAGTCACATAGATCTAGCTTAAATCCATTGCAATTAGGATTTCGTGACCAAATGAAGGGCCTCATAGAGGTATAAACAAACGAAAAGATCAAAGCTTTGTAAGCAATCAAGAAGATCTTAAAAATATCAATCACGGAGTTTGCCCTCAAAAGGTTTTTTCGGATTGTATATGTAGACAGTAAAAACAACAACATAAAAGAAGAAAAGTAGAAATATTGCAAAGATCAATGTCCTTTAGTCTCACCGATCATAACAACATAAAAATTTTCTAAAATCTTCATATACAAGGGCGTAAATCACATATATGTATATGGATATGATATCCGAAGTGCAAACATATATGTGTTAAAAGAACACCATAGTCAACATGAGACACACAGACAAGGAACCAACAAAAGTATAAGGACATGGAGTGGATTATATATAATCATCCACCATTTTCAATCACACATAAAAGCTACAAAGGAAAAGGATTATACCCAAAGTGAAGCGAAGAGAAACAGATGAAACAAGAAGAAACACAGCACTAGCACTCAAAGAAACGCTCTTTCACTGACTATTAGTTATGTGTTTGTATGCAAAATGAGAATAGAGAAGGAGAATTTTATAGAGAGGATGGTGGGGTAGTCTCTGAAGACATTAAATTGCAAAATCATCTGTAAATAGCGGAATTCAATAATAGATTAGAATCATAATTGCAGTTTTTAAGAAGAGACTAAGTATGGAAATGGAAGTGAAGTGTCATGGGTGGCTGCTGACCAATTGGATACACTTTCTTTGAAAAACCCTTTCACCTTGGCAAGACTCGTGTCATTTCGCCTTGCATGACTCTCTCTCTCTCTAAATCTGACATTTTATGGAAATAACTTTCCTCCCACCCCTCTCTTTCTCTCATAAACTCTACTTTATTTTGTTTGTTTTTCGCTCCTCTCCTTCTCTCTATCTGGGTTGTTTCATAACTTTCCTTAATTAACAACTTCCACACTTAATATTTAAATGATTTTATTATTTATTATTTCTTATTTATTTTTTTGCACATATTCTTTTGAATGTGTGAGGATTATACTTATAAAGTGTAATAAAATGTTGAAAATTATTTATATGATAAATCTCACTTATTTGGGATTACTATTATTGAATTTGTTGAAAATACGATGCTTTTTTTTATTATTTTAGATGGCCATTTTATTAGTATCACGTTTCCCGCCAAAATAACCGCTATTTCATTATTTGATCAATGTTATTATAGTAGGTAGTTGACCGTTATTTTGTTATATGAATAAGTTATAGTAAGATTTTGTTTCCCACTAAAATGACCGTTATTTCATTATTTGATTCTGTTATTATAGTTGGTAGTTTACCGTTTGTTCGTTATATGGATAAGTTATATAATAGTTCATATATAGTTAGCTATTATTTCATTAAATGAATCATATATGATCGATAATAAATAATTAATCGTTATTTCGTTATATGAATCAGTTATGATTGTTGACCGTTAGGTCGTTATTCAAATCAATAATAGTAATTGATAGTTGACCGTAGTTATATAAATAAATTCTAATAGCTTATGGTCGATGATCCACAACAATTTTATTATTATATTAGATGTTTAACTTTTTTAAATAGTTATAGTATTTATTTGTTAATTTTGTAATATCATACATTTAATTAATTATAAAATAATTTATCTAATTAACAAACAACTCTTGAACTTGAGGTGCATATTCATAACATTAATCTATTAAATGTTACTAGATTTTTATGTCAAACACTAAAATCTACATCAGATTTTGTCTTAATTAAAGTATAAAAAGTAAGTCGAAAACTCTTTTGAATGGCCATCTTGTATGTCAACAAGTAATTTGTATTACAAAAAAAAAAAACATTGATAGAATTATCTAAAAATATTCTCTTTTGTGAGATATAATATGTATGAATTTATTTTTAATTAGAAAATTTTTAGAAATTTTAAATTCAAGATAAAATAAAACAATAATTAGAGTTTTTTTTTTTTTCTTGGAAATATTATTATAAGTTTTCATGAAAAGAAAGAAACAACTAAATTTGGAATTGTTACCATATTTCTAAAAGTCTTAAATGCATAAAAACCATACCAGATATCAAATTTAAAGAAGCATTAAAAGATATACTATAACCACCATAAGCATTAACATCATTCAACTGAAAATTAATACACACAAGAATATTAGATATATAAAAGTGCTTTCTTTAATTGGGTTAAAACCACGAACCACATATGGTTTGTTATTAAATATGTGCCAATGAAGCATTCTTTCTTCATTGTTGATCGCCAAACCAAATGTGACACTGCTAGTTCCAAATTTTGGGGTACAATTTATTAATGACTGTATTTGGAAGTGTTTTAAATCATTTTTATTTCCAAAAAAAAAAAAAAAACCTTGACGCCACTGCCAAATTAAATATAGTTTTAATTAGAGTTAATGATTTTTTTTCCACCCAAATAATGACTTAATAATACTTTTCCATCCACAGACTTTTAAAATACTACTTTATTACCCAAATTTATATTCCAACGACGAATAGAGAGCAAACTCGATCCATGCTTCTGGGGCTTTTGCATATGGTAGACTGATGAGTCTTTTGGTGGTAGAAAGTTAGATTTTGGTGATTGAGATTGATTGGAATTTGACTTATGAGGGGTGGTTGTGTAAATCTTAATCACTCAATTGCCAGCGATTAGCGGGGTTGGCGGAAGTAGGGTTTGAGGGGTTTTGGTGAGTGATGATCGAGGAAGAAAATTGTGGTGGTATGGGATCGCAACGATACCGGAATCGGAAACGAAATATAAAATTGAGTAGTAAAGTGGTATTTTAAAAGTCTACGGGTGGGAAAGTGTCATTAAACCATTATTTGGGTGGGAAAAAAGTTGTTTACTCTTTTAATTATTTAAAAATATAATTGAAAATGTATGCCCAAATATTGCTAACATTTCTCAAATAAGATAAGCTCCATTATGTGAATGATTAAGATTGTGTATTTCTTTTACGGTGTGTTTGGTTGGGGGTAATCCCTATTACTGAGTTAATGTTATCTTATATTACTTGATTACTACGTTTGGTTGTCAAGTAATATAAGATTCCGATAATCTTCCAAAACCAATAGTAATTACCATTGGTAATATAAGAGGTAATTATTGATTATCTCTATTTTCTTAAGTATTTTAAAATTACTTAGTAATCTTATTTTTGTTATAATTTTATCCTTAATTATTAAATTTTTTGGACAGCAATGCCTTTATTTTGAAAACAATTTAGAAATATATTCATGGACTATTTTATCCTTATATGCAAATTTTTTAGGACATAAATACCCTTGGACTTTAAAAAAATTACCCAAGGGTGGTGGTCGAATCTGGCCACCACTACTGTCGATCGGTGTCAGAATGGTGCACGATTGACTGATCGTGCACTGATAAGGTTGTTTTCGGCCAGATCTGGCGGTTTCATGACCAAAGATCTAACATTTTTCGACCA